AGACGGAGTTGCGGGGAGAGGGGACGGGGACGAGAAGGGGATTGGCGCGAGCCAGCGCCAATTTGTCTTCTTCCGATATAAAAGCTGGACGGCTAAAGTATTTCGTGCATGAAACTTTTATAGGAGGCGAGTCGTTCTCGAGCGACGGTCCGAACAGCGGACACCGATCTCCGGATCGAGGCATAAATCAGAGCCGCGACGATCTATCGACTCGCTGTAAAGGACATAACCGGTGCCTCGATGGAAGACGTATAGGCTCCGTTATATCGTAACGTTCGGTTGCATCACTCGCTCATTGAGAATCGCCCCGTTCCCTCCTTCCCGCGAGAACATTGGAGGACGTTTTTATGGACCTCGATTAGCATTTCAGTGTCGCTCGATCGAACGTTTACGCGCTACATCGATTACGAATTGCGACGTATAATTCAAAAATTTGTATCGTATTTTCGAGCATTCCGAGATCCGAGAAAGCGGTGAAATCGCGGAGAGATTATTACGAAACGGGGCAAAATAGCAGCGTTTATTTAGGTGTCGGAGGTAGAGGGAATAGAACGAAAAGTAAGGAGCGAGAATCTAGGATCCCGAAGGTGGGCAGCGGCATAGGTATTCTATAGGTAGGGATAGTTAGTTATTTCTTGTTTGCAATGTTGGCAACACGTTTTAGTGCCCATAGATGGCAGGGCGGCCCCTCAGTCAGTCGTGCCAACGCAAAAATCTCGCATTGATTGATCGGCTCGCAAACGGCAGAGGCAAGAAGGCTGATGGTATGAGCCGCGGAAAAGAGAAAGGGGAAGAGGAAAGGGGAAGTGGAAAAGAAACGAGGGGAAGATGGTCGCGAGAGAAAGAGGCATGAGAACGGGCAAGAAACGGATAAGATAAAGAAAGCACCGCGGAGGTTGACGTTGTTCCCGATGTACACGGGTTGAAAAAACGTCTGGAATGAAAGCCAGCAGATAGCGCCTTGTGGCTTTTTAATATGTTCATAATACGAGCGCGTTTTTGAAGAGTCTCTCTCTGCTGGTCGGACCACCTCCGGATCATCCGCTTCTTCTGCTCCCTTTTCTCTCCCTTGTTTCTTCCTTTCCTTCGTTCCTTCGTTCCTTCGTTCACGCACAGACGTTCGAACGGTTTCTTCGCGACGGAAACTAAACTCTTTTTGTCGAAGCTGGACCAGTGACATAAAATATGTCTCTGTTGCACTCGTAACTTCCTCAGTTTTTTAGCTCCCCTCCGAGACCGAGTGTTTGCGCGGAATGTTGATGGCCCGTCATCGTCGCTTCGGATGGGATTATCGCGTGGCTCGCTCTTCCAGATTGACTCGAAACCTTTTTTTCTTTTCTAAATCGACCGAATCCATTTCCAATCGTGGCATTCGTCCTACTTCTTTTCAAATAAAATTCCCACTAACTTTTTCTTCCCCTCTTCTTCTCGCCGTTTTAACGCGCGCTTTTTATCAAGATCTCGTTCCAATATTTATCGGCCATGTTTCTTACGATTTCGCGTTTCTTTCTTCTCCCGTCCCCTCCCGAGATGAAATTCAAACGCGACTCGATTAATAATCCGATCGTACAGCTTTGATAATATGTACATTTTAGAAATAGAGCAGACCGCAATTTGGTATTCGTGAATTGATACGATGAGTCATAATTAATATGATTCGGTTTACTCACCGTTGGAGTACAACAGATGCAGGCTATATTGAATGCCATTGTTCGTTTTCTGTCCTTCGGATTCCTACGAACAAAAACGTATAAACGTTAATCGTTTGCATCGTTTAACAAGAGAGGGGGAAAAAAAGAAGAAAAAAAATATATCAAAGTACAAGATTAATTGCGCGTTCGACAAACAGAGATATGATCACGTAAGACGTTGATCGACCAATTCTCTCTCGACTACTCATCTTCCTCGAACGAAACGCGTCCGTTTTCAATTACACAACGTCTAGGCCGATTCGCCGATCCATTAAATCGGCACGAGCGAATTTTCAGAGACGTTAAATCTCGTTAATCTCGGTAAATTCGGCGCGCGCTTAAATGGTTGGAAGGGTGGTGGTAGTAGGCGAAGGAGCGGAGATTCAGCCGTTGCGCGTTCTTCACACCCCGTTCTATTTTAATTAAGTGCACCGTGACGTAACTCTGGCGCGCTCGGGTCTGCTCCACCTCACGCTAATTATTAATTTCTTGATGTGCCGGTAAGAGCCGTGCCATTACGTATGGCGTGCGATGCATAATTATCATCCTGCCCTGTTGACGAGTCATGCGTGCATCGCGCCATATGCCGCAGCCGCGGTAATGCATTTTCAACTACCCCTACTACCCCTCCAACACCCAGGACTCGACCCCCTTCTCCCCGTTTCACGGCCACGACATTTACTCGTTCTCAGTATCTTTTTCGAAAACAACCACGAGTTCGTTCGTTCGATCGATACCGGAATTAACATAATTAACGGGTATCTTGATCGGATTCATTACGATCGAATCTCCATCCCGATACGTAGAGTCATTATTGCGTGATTAAAAGATCGATTGATCGGCTATCTTGGCCGCGAATGGTAAGTAATGAATTGCAAGTAACACGCGTATTACGTATAAGTGCGAACGAAAATTGTATGTGTTCGAAGCACACGTAGATCTTCCTTATCGAAAGTTTTGATAATCGTCGCAAGATCGACGTTGTTCCTCTCCACCCCCTTTTTTTTTCCTTTCCATCCGTGCGTACGCATCAAGCGTACTCTTTTCCTGCCGGCTGACGTTCGTCGCGGCCATTAATCTTTAAATTCGCGAGCGCACGATGGACGTTAATCAGGCGTGTACACGCTCGATCCACGACTACTTTTTAATTAAACGCGAATAAAAAGCGGGTAGGAATACCCCTCTCCTACGTTTATTTACGTAGGGCATCAGTTTCCGGGAACCGCTGTTACTACGTCGCTCTATTCATACACACAGGCGTTTGCATCGCGATAAAAGAGTTTGCCTAGTCGATCGAGCGGCAAGGTTCTATCGGAAAGGATTAGGTTACCTCTTTCTTTGCTCACGAAAAATACGTAAAATCGATATATTTGTCGATGTTGAGACGATTTGGAAACCGGCACATGACGCTGGTAAACGCAAAACGGGGGGCTGATCTATGCTCACGGTGCACGACCCTAATTAATAGGGAGGCTACAGCGATGCAACTGTCCAGCTCACGTGAATTATATATATAGACGTGTGCTCTTACGAGGAGTGGATGGAGGGGGGAATGGAGATATCAAGATAGCCGATGCAAATCCGAACCGAAGGAATAGAAAGTGTACACTTGTCCGCTGACTCGCAAATGAGTTTACGTTTCGATGCGTTTCTCTGTGCTTCTTTCCACCATTTGCATTTCAGGTCTTCTGATCTAATTTAATTTAGCGGGATGTTAAATGTTCGCATGCATATTCGAGATTCGAGAGTTTAATTAGGGGTGTAATTTCGAATAGGTGTAGAGAGAAAAAGAAACACCTAAACCTGGTAAATAATCGAGATTGGGTGGAATTAAATTCGTGGATTAAAATTTCAAATCTTCTTAATCTTTGGACAACGATTCGAGAGACGAAATCGGTATCCTGGCTCGTCCTCACCCGAAGCGTGGAAAAAGACGAAACGCGTGGTGAAAATGAGAGAACGAAACTAAGTGACGGAAAGAAAGGAAAGGAAAGGGAAAGAAAAGAAAGGAAAGGAAAGGAAAGGAAAGGAAAGGAAAGGAAAGAAAAGGAAAGGAAAGAAAAGAAAAGGAAAGGAAAGAAAAGGAAAGGAAAGGAAAGGAAAGGAAAGGAAAGGAAAAGAAAGGACGAAAGGAAGTTGGTTCTACGAAATAGAGATTCGGT